GAGGAGATGGACTACAAGGGCCATGCCCCCCTCCCGGACCATTTTTTCTATGTACCTATTTAGTATCAATTATTTCTTTCTATTTATAAAGGGGTACTCCGCCTCTTGTTCAGTTGGTTCGAACTCTGCGACCTTCGACGCCTCTCCCCTCGACCTCGCTCAATCTGGATTCACAGCAGGCGTGAGGCACCACCCGGCACCTTTTCACCTCTGACTTGTCAATCAAAGAAAGCCGTCCCGCACCTTTTTAACTTCCACAATTGCCCCAGACACCTTCGCCCACTCAGCCTGGCCGTGGGGGGCTGTTGCCGGACTCGCTTCGTCTTGGCCCAGAAGTGCCCTTCAGTGTGCTGACTGCTGCAGCTTTTCACGCCCAGTGCCTGCGGCACGGTCCGATCCACGTGACAGCTTTGACTGGGGTTGCCTGTCTCAACGCAGGACGCTGCAGTGGGGAGGTCATTCGCGAGGGGAGGGTGCGGTGAAGGGTCTAACAGGAGTGTGGCCTTAGCATTGGGATACCCTGTCGAAGATCTGGGACACTTCCTGGCAGGCCTGACGCCAAGGCCAGAGCTGAGCAGCCAAGAGGCCCGCGCGCAGCGGACCGTAGGTGCCGTGGGGCAGCTGCGGGAAGTGCTGGAAGCTGGAGGAGCGGCAGGCTCAGGGCAGACGCGGTGCAGAGAGCAGACTGGCCGGCAGTGGGCTGTCGCGTGCACAGCAGTCAGAGCCATCTCCTGTCCACCCGCCCTGGCCACCTTGCACTCTGCTCATGCTCCTCGGCCCCTCCTCCCCCCCGAGCGCGCCACGGCTGGGCCAGTTCAACCCTTCCCTGGGCCCCTCCCCTCGCCGTGCAGCGCTGGCCTTATGCCAACGGGTCTGCCCAAGCCGGGCCGCCATAGGACCTGATCCATCACTCTACCCACGTGTTGTGCCCCGGGCTGAAGTTCAGGTTCTCTGCGCTGACCTTCCCGGGTGCCAGCTCACACGGCTGTTCCGTCGCCCAGACAGACGTCCGTAACGGTCGTTCAGGTGTCCCTCCTCAGGTCAGCTCACCGGCCCCCCGCCCACTCCCTGCCAGGCCACACTACCACACCCACATGGCATTCGGCCTCCTCGTTCCCCCGCCTGGAAGTAACTCGCCTGCCCTGGGCTGGTCGAGCTCCGGGTCACCTGGAGCAGAGTGGTGCCTTACGATCGTGGGTGCCGGGACTCGCCCGAAGCCCCCAGGGACTCCCTCTCCCGGACATGGACCAGCCCAGACCTAACACCCCGCACCGGCACCGCCTTCGAGCCACGCGCTCCGGGCACCTAGGCCAAGCCCACGGTGCACTTGCCCCGCTCAGAGCAGCATCCCAGGGAGCCCAGCTACGCTGCTCTGCCACCAGCGGCCACCCGCCTCTGCTAACCAGACCGCCCTTACGGCAGTCCAGCTGTCTCCAGCAAGCCCCCGGCTCCTCTGTAGCACCTCGCCACTGCGTCACTCTCACCGACCTCAGCCTCAGCCGCAGACGGCACCTGGGCGCAGGTGCCGCCCGCCTGGCTCATGCTGCATCGTGTTTGCTGAGTGACTTTGAGAGTGTCCCCGGCCGCCCGGCCCTCGGACTACGGAGACCCCGTCCCAGGCAGCACCTGCCGAGGTGTGTGGGCAGTCACGAGACCCGTGGGACTGCTTACCACCTGGGAGGAGTGGACGCATTCAGGGCTGTGCCCCACCCCTGCGCAGCACTGCAGCTGAAACCCGGGGGGGGGTTTTCTCGCACGACTGCTGCAGGCATCTGCGGCCTGCTGGAATCGAGTGCGGAATTAGGCACACACGCTTGCGCGGGCCCACTGTCTGCTCCAACCCTCTCTGCCTGAGGCTGCTCCCCCCCCCCCCCCCGCAGTGCCTAATGTCGCCGTCACGTTCGGCGTGGCACGTCCCCAGGGCGGGCCTCGGGGACCCGCGTGCCACGACACCCGGCTGCTGGGCTGCTCCACACGCCCTGCGGGGCGAGGGCACAGGTGCCCTGCACGCTCTGAGGGCAACACGCTGAGCTGCGTGGAAGCCCCACCACCTCCTCCTGCATGCGCACGGAGCTCGCTAGATGTCGAACTCGCCCAGGCGAGCCGCGCTCCGAGTTACCGTCCGAGAACCTTTCCTCCCGCCGGAGGGCGCCCCGAGGTGTCCCACTCAATGGCATCGCAAGACGGCAGGGCAGACACGCAGGAAGACGAGGGCGATGGCGCTCATGGATTCGCAGGTGCCCGGAGCGTTCCAGCAACCCGTCCGGCCCCTGCCCCAGCCAGCCGCTGCTGAGGATGGAGGTTGCGGCGGCTGGCAGCCCGCACCCAGGCCAGCCGGTGGGTGACACCGGACTCTTACATACACAGCACTGAAGGGAACAGGAGACGGGCAGAAATGCAGGCCGTAACACTTCCACAGTCCAGGGAAGGGATGCACGTCAGCAGTCGGTCAGTGTGTTTTTCAGAGACTCAGTTGTAACGCCGCCGGGATTTTTACGGAAGGCAAAGATAAAAGGGGCTTAGCGCTGAAAACGCAGTTCTCTGTCCAGAACTCCGGGGCGGCTAAGCTCACTGGGGCGACGTCGGGGCTGAGGCAGGCAGAGCTGGCAGGGGTCCCTCAGACCTGGCCTGCTCGAGCCAGTAGGGACGACCCTCCTGTGACTGCACCACCCGCGCAGCAACTGAAACCCGGGGCGGCCCGGCGCAGGGACAGTGGGGACAGGGCTCACACAGGAGGGGCGGGAGGACACGTGGACGCAGGGCTACACACCAGGGGGTTGGGCGGAAGGGACGTGGGAGCAAGCTCACGCACAGGGGTTGGCGGAGGCGACAGTGGCGGGAGCAGGCTCACGCACCAGTGGCGTTGGGCGAGGACAGTCGGGGAGCAGGCTCACGCCAGGGTGTTGGGCGGGAGGACAGTGGGGAGCAGGGCTCACGCACCAGGTGCGGCGAAGGAATGGGGAGCGGGCTCATGCACAGGGTTGGTGGGGGGATGGGGGAGAGGGCTCACGTACCAGGGGGTTGGGCCGGAAGCGGTAGGCCAATCATCCGTTTCTCGGAGCTCTCCTCGTCGTCTTCCTTGGAGAGTTCCCCGCGGATCACTGCCGGAAGCAGCGCCGTCCACTCGTCGGCGCGCCTTGTGGGGCGGGGCGGCCGTGTGAGCAGGCGTGTGGAGCAGGGTGGTGTGAGCAGGGTGTGTACAGCCGGGCGGGGACGCGGCGCCGGTGGAGCAGGTCGGCTGTCAGGGCGGTGTGCAGCACGCGCCCGCGCTGTGAGCCGGGCTAGTGTGAGCAGGGGTGGTGTGAGCAGGGTGGTGTGAGCAGGGGCATTGTGAGCAGGGTGGTGTGACACGCTGCGGCTGTGACAGCGGCGGTGTAGCACGGGCTGTGTGAGCAGGGGCGGTGTGAGCTTGGGCAGCTGTGAGCCAGGCGGTGGTGAGCAGGTGGTGACTGCCGGTGACAGGGTGGAGCAGGCTGTGTGAGCGGGCGTGTGAGCAGGGTGGTGTGATCAGCCGGTGTGCCAGGGATGGTGTGAGCACGCGGCGTTGGGGGGCGTGTGGATGCAACCGGCGGTGCAGGGGCGGTGTGAGCTGGCAGTGTGACGGGCGGTTGAGAGGGGGTGGTGACGGCGGTGAGCAGGGTGGTGTGAGCAGTGGCGTGTGAGCAGGCAGCGTGTGAGCCAGCGGGTGGTTGAGCAGGGCGTTGACAGGGCGTGGTGGCAGGCGGTGGGACAGGGGCGTGTGGAGCATGGCGGTGTGAGCAGGGGGCGGTGTGAGCAGGGGCGGTGTGAGCAGGGGGTGGTGTGAGCAGGGGCTGTGTGAGCAGGGGCGGTGTAAGCAGGGCCCGGCTGCCGCCAGCAGGAAGGGGGATGCAGGGCCTGGACTTGGGGTGGGGAGGCCCCTCCTGGCGCTTGCCCCTGGGGACCTGGGGGCCATCTGGGCAGAGATGAGCTTGCATCACGAGGGAGGAGCCTCTCCTCCTCCTCTAGGATGACAGGTGGTGGCTCACGCCTGTCACCCTAGCACTCTGGGAGGCCAAGGCAGGAGGATTGCTGGAGGTCAAGAGTTTGAAACCACCCTGAGCAAGAGCGACTATAAACCAGCCTGAGCAAGAGCGAGACCCTGTCTCTACTATAAATAGAAAGAAATTAATTGGCCAACTAAAAATATATATAGAAAAAATTAGCTGGGCATGGTGGCGTGTGCCTGTAGTCCCAGCTACTCGGGAGGCTGAGGCAGGAGGATGGCTTGAGCCCAGGAGTTGGAGGTTGCTGTGAGCGAGGCTGACGCCACGGCACTCTAGCCTGGGCAATGGAGTGAGATTCTGTCTCAAAAAAATAAATAAATGAAATAAAATAAAGAGGAGCAAAGAGCCCAAAATGGCCCAGCCCCAGGGTCCCGCAGGGGAAGCAGAGGCCCACAGGGCAGGTTATCACAGCTGTAGGTGTGCGCTGCTCAGCCGGGGAGTGGGGTTGGGGGGTGGGTACAGCACTGAGACCCAGGGGTCACGCCCGGGAGTCTGGGACTGGTTTCCTGCTCGTGGGGAACTCAAACAAGACCCTCACGAGGCAGGCGAGGCCAGCAGGCCCCAGGAGGGCCTGACCCCGGGCTGGGGAGGACCAGGCCCGCACGGCCTACTGCATCGCTGACTTGTGTCTGACGAGGGGTGTGCTGCGGGGTGCTGTGACCACCGGGAAGAGCCCACAAGGAAAAAGGTATCACGTGACCAGGCGGGGGCAGGGAAGTGGCAGGGGAGCCTGTGACAGCCTCCCCACCCCCACCCCCACCGAGCTTGGCCGCACTCACTTGTTGACCGGGTTCTTGATGCCCTGGCCCTCCGAGCCCAGCCCCTCGCCCTCCTTCCAGCCCATCTTCATCAGCATCTGGTAGCCGATATTCTCCACGGTCAGCTTGAACTCCTTGTACTCGGAGTAGTCAGGCTCTCGGCCTTCCTGCAGGGAAAGGAGCTGCTGTCACCACCCGCCAGGGCTGTAGCTGTCCCCTGGGCCACAGCCCCGTCCACAAATGCGAACCCCCCCATCTGCCTCCCTCCCGCCAGGTCAGAGTCCTGGTGAACAGACTAAGCTCTCTGTTCTTCTCAGGGGGCCCCAGGGCCTCAGCGCCAGACTTAGCACTGGGTTTCCTGGCGGCCAGGTCAAAAGGGGCAAGACGATTTGTTCCATAGGCCTCGTCGACCACGGGCTACAGTGACGATTCACTGGCAAGCAAAGCCCCGTGTTCGTGTTTTGAGAGCAACCTGTCTCACAGACGCGGTCAGTGATGTTACCACCTTGTCAGATGAGTTATGGACTACAAACAGGTTATTAGAAAAGAAAAAGAGGCGTGGCGCGGTGGCTCACCGCCTGTAATCCCAGCACTCTGGGAGGCTGAGGCGGGCAGATGCTCATGGTCAGGAGTTCGGAAACCAGCCCTGAGGCAAGAGTGAGACCCCGGTCTCTACTATAAATAGAAAGAAAATAATGGCAGCTCAATTTATATAGAAAAAAATTAGCCAGCAGTGGCAAGTCCTGTAGTCCCGCTACTCGAGGCGAGGCAGCAGGAGCTGACCCATGAGTTGAGGGCTGGAGCTAGCTGATGCCACGGCACCACCTAGCCTGGAAAAAGGAGACCTGTTCAAAAAAAAAAAAAAAAAACAACGGGAGTGCGGCGTCAGCGACTCCCCAGGAGCCCCGGGGTCAGACGTTAAGCTCTCGTTCTGGAAGCTAGTGTGTGGGGGCCCGCCAGAGAAACCCTGCCGTAAACTACACGTACCGCCACTGAAGCGAATCCCCCCACGGCCCCAGGAACGTCTTGAAGCGCAGCTGAGTGCTGTGTTGCCATTCCCCTGCACAGACGATCTGCACAAACAACCCTCTCGCGAAAGGCCTCCTGCTGTCGGGTGGCGTGCATGGAGGCGGCCTCTCCTCATCCCATGCCTTGAAAGTTCCTAAATGAATCCAGTCTCTGTCCGGATGGTCATGGAACCGAATGATAAGTCTTGCCCCGACCCATCTTGGCAAGGCTCGGCCATTGCCCAGGGACAAGGGAGGTGAGAGGGGGTTGTGAAGCAGGGCTGGCGGGTGGCTCCCGGAACAGGCCTGAGTCTTCACTGGGGAGCAGTGTCCTCCGGAGGTCGTAGCCGGGACCCGACCAGCCCTGCTCCCCAGAACCCCTCCCAGCCTCTAGTTCAACGATCAGTAACGCCATGGAGCTCCCGCCCCCGAGGTCAGCCCCCACCCCCTTTTCACCCCTGAAGAAACTGAGGCACAGAGGACCGGTCTCACAGCCAGGGCAGGCAGGCTGGGCTGAACCAGGACGAAGCGATCAGTACCCGGTGCTTCCGGCCCCCGCACGGCGCTGCCGGCCATTCT